ATCCAATTCACTTCTTGAAGCAATTAGCAAAAGAGCAATCATTTCAAAAAAGATACAAGGGGTTACCCATATGACATGTCATCTGCTGACTCTGCATGGCTAAAATTAATTCCCAAAGGTCACAATATCATTTACTCTGACAAGATGAATTATATCGTTTTGAAAGGATAAAACACATTAAAAAAACTAAATCAAAACAAGAAGGAATTAGAAGCCATGTACAAATAAACCATTCTCTGTTGATATAACATTTTTGAAGAAAGACTTTACAATGCTGTATCTAGTCCAAATGTTTGAAAATGTTCTTGTAATGTATAGTTATACATGAATCTAAAAAAAGTGACAAATCAGTAACGTTATGTATCCACTTTATTTAAGAGATTCAATTAAGGAGGCAACTCGAGATTTTTATTAAACTGTATTATAGTGCACAAAAAATCATTTGATTCACAATCTACAAAAAATATCAGTGAAATTATGATTAATCTGATTAGGAAGAGGGCGGGGCTTATTAAAACGCAATTTATACTGGATGGAGTGCATGCCAATAATATTTCCCGTTACATTTTAAATTTTTCTTTATATACATGATAAGGAAGGGGAATAATATATAAAATGAAATAAGAACAAAGATATTTCATGCATTTCAACACAATTAATGAAATTAAGCATACAAAATATTTACACGCCTAATAGATTACTTCAGTGTAAAAATACATAATTCACTGCACGAAATTAAAAAAAATCTAAGTTTATAAAGAGATTTCTCAATAATCAATGACCATAACAAGAAAACTAAGACACAACAAAATACAGGTATAATATGAAAAACATAAAATGCTTTCCGGTTTTGCTCATGGAAAGGCATGAAGAGAGACAACTCGAACTGAAATATTGGTATTAGTAATGACCCTCTCTACACTGCATATTAATTTCAGGGTACTTTTGTGTCGGTAGGCTGACCCACCATTTGATGTAAAATAGAACAATTTGCAGTCTGCACTACATTACGTAATTTTTAATTAATTCACGTATTCTAAACATTATATTAGACCAAAATAGAGTAATTGAAAACTTTATTTGAATGTATTTCCCACGTTTGAGTAAGCAAATGCGAATTTTCTTTATCATTTCTTCGTTGCACAGGCCTTGTTTCGTATACGGTACATCCCCTACTTATTTTTACCACAAGGTATCTAACTCAATTTCAGACACCCCCGCTTCAAGCTCGTATTTTGTTAATATATCAATCATTAACCTACTTTAAAATGACATCAATTCGCTTCGAGAGACTTTTTTCTTGTCAATTAAATCGTTTCAGACGTCTCTGGTCGAGCCTCTTTATTGTAAACCATTCATTTATTCCTCGAAAATTACCTCGATACATATTAAGACTAGATGGGATACAAATTTCCGGTTGGGATTATAAATGAAGGATAAAACCAATCTAATTAAAATTAGATCTTCCATTCGCTCCCCGATTTTTTATATGTCGCGAGGAATCGGGGAGCGAATGGAAGATCTAATTTTAATTAGATTGGGATAAAACCAGAGACCTCCGAATGGAATGCTCGGAAGTCTCTGGTTATATCCTAACCCAACCGGAAGTTGTATCCCATCTAAAGTCTTTTGAGGAATAAACATGATAAATGAGTGGTTTACAATAAAGAGGCTCGACCAGAGACGTCTGAAACGATTTATTTGACAAGAAAAAAGTCTCTCGAAGCGAACGATATACTTTTGAAGTAGGTTAATGATTGATATATTAACAAAATACGAGCTTGAAGCGGGATGCCTGAAGTTGAGTTAGATACCTTGTGGGAAAAATAAGTAGGGGTGCTCCGTATACGAAACAAGTGCCTGTGCTTCGTTGTCTGAAAATTGTTCCTGGATAACTTGAAAAGACACGCACTCTATGTTAAAAATGAACTACCTGCAGAATTGTAGCTCTGATTGAAAAAAATTCGGGCAGACAAACCAGAGAGCTACAGATCCAAGCATTGTAAAAACCTTTTATTTACGGCGCCTATTTTTTTATCGCATGCTTCTGGTATTATTTCTTGTATTAGATGCGCCCCCCCCCTCCCCAAAAGGCATTATTTCCGTTAATTAACCATATATTCTAATCCTAATCTTGATAATTTATTTACCGTTCAAAGGTCCCAAACTTTAATTTTTTGGGGGAGGGGGGTGTCATTCACTCCTTTAATCAGCCATTTGGTTTATGTATTCACAAAAAACTTTGTTCGTCTGTTCTTAAAACATTTGCATCGCAGTATTTTCCAACACCTGCGATATTTGATATAACAGTTAATAAAACTACACTGAAGAGGTATTGCATTTTATTTGTATTAAGTAACACATTACGTTCCAGTTAAGTGCCTTTATTTTGGATATTTCTACACATGTCTCAATAGTTTGTGTTTAAGCAGCAAATAATGTAAATCTCTAGCGAATATCAAACGTTGAACTTGAATATTTGAATCCTTGCCCCAGGATCATGAAACAGACTTAGACTTAAGTCAAAATGCCAAACATCTGAAAGAAGTTTGCAAAATGCCAAACATCTGAAAGATGTTTATTACTTGTGAACTGACACTATAAATTTGCACAAAACAACACTTTGACAATACAACTGCTATTTAGCATTTTTATTTTGGGCTGTTTTACTTTTAAATCATTTCAGCGCAATGTACAGATTTTGACTTCAGCTCAGGATGTTTCACGATCCCGGAGCCCGATGTGAAAGAAGGAACTACGTGTACATCTATAGTGCTAGTAGAAGTGTGTAAAACTGTGAAATCACGGACAGATTATTCATGCTGTTAATTTTTATTTATTTGTTTACTCTTTAATTTTTACCCCCAGAAGAGGAATTTCTAAATCAAACTTTGCTATATCTTTATTAGCAAACCTTCCAAAAGGTACCAAACAGGCCCGTAGGAAGCAAATTCACTTTGAGGGGGCACATCCAAAGATTTTCAGTTGAGAGGGCACTATCAACTACCAAAAGTCCTTGACAAGCAAAAAAAAAAAAACAAAAACAAAAACAAAAAAAAAACAAAAACAAAAAAACAAAAACAAAAAAACAAAACAAAAAAAGGTCATCAGACGTTATTATTGAGAGGGCACAAGCATATAGTAGCTAAGTTTTCTACAGTATTCTATATATCGGCAAAATTATTGGGGGGCGTAGGCACGCCCCCCCCCCCCCCCCCCGCGGTTCCTACGGCCATGCCAAACGTTATTCAAAGCAGGCCTGTCCTCAGGGACACACCTTCACCTAGCACGTAGCATCGTGGGAGTTGGGGGGCAGAAAAAAAATAACATGTTAAATTAAAGATACCTCAAAATCTTCCAAACATAAAGTGAACCTATTGGAAGTAAGTAGGTGGTGGTAGGTTCCAACTATCGCGTCGACAAAAAAAAAAAAAAAAAAAAAAAAAAAAAAAAAAAAAACGAACAAAAAAACCTTGGTCTGAGAGGGTTTGATCATATGATCATATTGCAACAAAAGAAGGGGGGTAATCAGCCTTTCAATGTAAAATTTGATACTTAATTAACAGCAAAATATAACCCCCTCCTTAATAATGTCCGCATTCCTGTATTTAAAGATAAGCTCGAACTTGACAAAAACTGTTCGATCACTCTTCATTGATACAGTTATTGCCCATCCTGGTAATTTAGAAATGAACATGCACAGAGCTCGAGGAGAAATTTAAATGTTATGCTCTCTCTCTCTCTATACCAAATACGAATACTCTACATGCCTAGAGCTTTCGAAACTCTAAGTTGTGGATTGAGTTATCTGCCCATGTTATGTACGCAGCTTTAATAATGGTATCTTATCGAAAGTAATATACAGAATATAAGTACAATTTATCACAGAAAGAAAACAAAATATAGAAAGAGTAAAAGGAACTGCGGAAAACAACTGAATAAATGTGAAATAAAAATAATAAGTAGAGAAAAAATATGAAATATCCAAAGATGAAAATTTTGGAATACATGTACATAAATTATACCACACAAATCGAACACAATAGGAATCAAAATATAAAGCCAAACAAATAAAATATCCAAAATTTAAGAGATGTAATTTTTAGCGTTTCACAAACAAAATAGTAAGGACGTATTTTATTGACTCGTGGCTTTCGCCGTTATCTCTACAAACCCTAAAGTTGTTTGACTTGTTGCAATGGGGCCCCCGAAGGGTTGGGGTAATTTCATGAAAAGCACTATTGAATATTAGGTATTAGGTGTTGACCCCATTTGTATTTTTTTATTTAATGTATTTTCATTATTAGTTGATTTTTGTTTACCTAGCAGACTTAGCTACATGTACCATATATTTTTCTTTTCAAGTTCTCGAGATGTTAACCAGTACGCTTTCCCATCATAATATTGAGGATTTCGATTGATCCTATCCATATTTTACTAATCACCATTATTTCCTATCGGAGAGAGGACATGACCCAACTTGAACCTTCCTAACACAGATATGCTCTGGGTACCGACAGCGGTATTTGTAAATTGTTGAAGCAACAAAGAAGTATAATCATTATATAAGCATGTGTATGGTAGAATTCGTGATGTCATCATAGATTATTAAGTCTAGGACGAAATCTTTTCAAGTGTTTTTTCTATTAAAAGTTTCTACCTTATTGTGTTACCTTTTTATTCGAAATCAAATATTGATTAAAAAGTCATTCCTCACTTACTAAAGATACTGTAAAGTACAAATATCACAACAGGTGTAATCCTATAGCAAAGAATCAGTTCATCTCAAGAAAAAAGTATAGGGTTCAAATTTTACTAACAGATCTTCATCGCCGTCAAATGAAACAGCATGTAAGGGAGACAGAAATAGTCCTATACCTTCCACGACCTGTAGTTAGAGCTAATAAATATATAGAAACATAATATATATATTGAATTTCTTAATTAGTTGAATGCTGAACAGTTGTCATCCTTATGCTAAAATAGAAAAAACCCACAAGGACTTAAAATATTTATTACAAAAAAATCTCCCCAAAATATCATGCAATTTCTGAAATGAACACAAAACAAACATTTCATATCAATGGTTCTTCTTCACATATCCATTCATACTTTCTATCATACACATACTAACAACCACAGGCTATCTATCCAACAGTCATCCTTCGTGATTTATGCTGTTCAAATAGTCGCAAACGAAAGTATTTGTAATATAAATACATTATATAAACAAAATAAATGAAACTTTCAAACAGGTAATTTCATTCTCTTTTCAAAGCTACAATTCAAAATTTACTTCTTAGCATTTGGAAAATCACTGTGTTGTAGGCTGAATTTACATATTTTTTGTACAAAGTAGCCAGAGGAGCCCTTCCTTTTCCAGACAGGGAACTTTGTCCTTTTCGATCTGAAAGTTAACTTGTTCATAACAAATGGCAATGGTCATCCATGTTAATATAAGAATGAATTGATGGAAATATTTTTCACGTCGTTGGTCACGTTAATACGAAAACAGTGCTCGCACGACTTATTAGTTATTTCTTCATATAAATGATCACACTATTTGGATATTGCTTTCACATCAAATCTTTTGATAAATCAATAAAAGAATGAATAAAACTCACTAGGAACATTGTGTATATAATGCTAGATTGAATTTCCATCTGACACCGCATTGATTTGTTGAAAAATAAATAGTTCCATGTAGTACACATCTGGACCCATAAAATAATTACACTAACACAATAAAAACTAGCTAGGAAGCCATAGAACGTCATAACCCCACTTTGCACTCTCTGCAAGATTCAATGCTGCTTTCCCTAGATTTACAGCATGTGGTTTAAACTTCCGCGCGGTCATAAAGTCAATTATTTTCTTTGCAGTCGGTTGCCCCTTATGAAATTCCCATTCCATGACGAATCCAGCAACTTTGATTTTCTCAAAAAACTTAGTAGATTTTTCAACTGCTCGTGCTTCGAAACCTTCTACATCCATTTTGATAAAAACTTTCTGAAAATGTTTAATGGCCGGAAGTTCTAAAAGGTCATCCATGGTTATGGTATGAACTTTGCCATATGTACCTTGAGCCCGACCTAATTTAAGTTCCTTAATATGACTTGATTCGACATCCACAAAAGTACCTCCCATGTTACTCTTATCCACTCCAAGATTAACAACGTCATGTCCGTTTGATATGGCGTTGTGGATGAGGTAGACATTGTTCTGTAATCCCCCTTCCATCACAGAAGCGCAAATGTGCTGCATATTTTTGTCTAACGCCTCTACAGCTAAAACTTTACGACCTGCTTTTGCACAACTTAGCGTATAAACACCTGCAATGGAAATCAATTTTAAAGCTTCTGAATTTCAAAGGTTAATGTGGGATTTGATACCCAATACAACACAGGTACATGTAATTTGTTCACTTATTCAAGAACTGCGAACGATAGTATTGTTCTGCCGCCTACCTACATGTCAATTTCTAAAAGTTATCATATCTGAATGATTTTTCACATTTATGTAGATATTTGTGTGAATTTTCATAAAAGATAACTTATTTGGGAAATCAAAGAGAGATAACTCTATAATTTTGGTAAAACTTGAGTTTTACTATAGAAATCAACGGAAAACGGAAATCATTATTACCCCCCCCCCCCCCCGTGAAACAAAAAATCCTTTTTACAGGTTTTATGAATTGTTATTTCACAAATTCATACAAAAGTTTTTGTTGTTTCACGGGGGAGGGGGGGGGGATATGTTTACAGACATTAACAGCAAAAGTGGTCAATTTTTTTACGGTAGCTCAGACGGTAGAGCGCTCGCTCCGTGATCGGAAGGTCGTGAGTTCGAATCTCGGCCGCGACAGACCTAAGTCGATAAAAAATAGGTAGCATCTGTTCCTTCGCCATGCGCTCGGCACTTTGAAGTGAAAGTTGCGGGTCCTTCGGATGAGACCTTAAAAACCGAGGTCCCGTGTCACGGCAGGCGTTGGCACGATAAAGATCCCTCACTGCTCAATGGCCCTGAGTGCCGAGTAAAGGTCAAAATTTGAAGCCCTTCACTGGTATATGGTGACGTCTCTATATGAGTGAAAAATTCTCGAATGGGACGTAAAACAACATACAATCAATCAATCAACCAATTTCAAATGAGATTACAAAAAAAATATACGTTATCAAACATATATGTTGAATGTAACATTAGTTAAACATACGGATATATTTAAGGGTCATATATCCATTCTCATGCGTAAATTGCCAAATTGCCATTTACTGTGAATTAAATGGGTTTAAATTGTAGGCGAGAATCGAGTGTAAGCGTTCGTAGTTCTTTCACAGGCTACATCTCAGACATCTGAAATACTAGCACAAAATATACTTAACATCAAGACGCTGTAGGTCAACAGACCATGAAAACCTTTTGAAGTATTGATGTGAAACAAATCTAAAATAAATAAACAAGGAACCCAAAAGCAAAGCATAGGTGTCCTTTAATACCTGTACATAAAACACAGGTACTTGTTGACCGATTGACCCACACACCCACCCCATCAATATTCACCCCATGAATTGTTGAACTTTTCTCATACATTAATTTACAAGGTATTCAAAAAAAAAAAAAAAACATAGACAAACCCTGAATCAATCAACCAGAGTAAAATATACACACACTGATTAATACTGAGTATTTTTTTTTTTTAGCTTTTTTTTCAATTTCAACTTGTCCGCAAGTACATGTATAAGTGACATACAGTGCATGAACCGACGTCATTGTCTCTCATTTTGGCGACAAAAAAAAGGGGGGGGGGAATTCGAAAACAATCACGACCACACTATAAGTATTTGCAATTAATTAGTTAAAGACCAATTCATACAAATTTCCTACATTTTCGTGAGTACTTTCCAACATTTCTGGGACTTTTTTTACTATTCTGATCAAAAAAGTGGGGGAGGGAATAAATACTCTGACCCCTCCATTTTTAATAGTAGAGGCACAAGCCCCCCCCCCTTTCCCCTTTGACTAAACCTACGATGATGAAGATATTTTAAAGCTTGAGTCTACATGTATCTATACTACAGTATTCTATAGTCTGTAAGAATGCTTACAGCTTGATCTGACATTCTGTATCTTTAAATTGTTTTGCACGAGAAAATTTTGGAAGATATTCCCAAAATATTTATAATAATTGATGCTCCATTTTTGGCTCTATATTTTGGCTTAAGGCTGTAATTTGAACATTAATGATGCTTGTTTAAAAATCTCTTGAAAATATACTTTTTCTTTAAAAGATTTTTTTTATCTTTTTTTTTTTTTTTTTTTTTTTTGCAAAACCACAAGCTGAAGAGATTTCTAGTGACATTTTAATTATAAAAAAAAATCTATGAAGCGTTTTCAAATATCAAGTATGAAAGAGGAATCTGAATGTACTAGTTTGTCTTGTTTTATATCTATACAAATTTCAGTTTGTGAAAATTATTAATTTATAAGTCCAAATAATTGTAGCATAATTAATATGAAGGACATTTTCGCATTACACTCATATATATATATATATTCTTCCTTGTATTCTTACGAGTAATGTTAATTAAATATCCATATTGTTATCACTGGAAAACTTTCTATTTCAAACATTTTATTGTATTGTAAACAAAATAGTTCATGTTTACCTCCATATTCTTTTTTCTTTTACACAATATCGAACTTACCAATGTTGGCTCCAATATCAATTATTTGTAATTCAGGGTCATCTTTCATCATTTTGAACATGATCTCCGATTTTTCAGATTCAAAGGTGCCACGATCCTGAAGAGAAGTTGAGACCCAAATGTCCTGATCTCTTGGATATATAAAGATAGGTGTTGGTCCAAATTTAGTTTTTAAAGTAGCTTTGGTAAATTCAAAACAAGAGTCACAAATTTCACGATTTTCATACCATCCTTTATTATCACGGCTAAATATATTCTTTATAATATTTTGCTGTTTACCACGACAACTAATTGTACCATTTATAACCTGTTTATTTTTCAAAAAAGGTTTCAAGCCTCGTATTTCACTTGGATTGTCTTCAGGGGGTGTCCTTTGAACATTATTCATAAATCCAAAAGTGTTCCGATAAAAAGAAAGATACACAAATGTAAGGGTTACTACAACGATAATGAATGCCAAAGGACGAGATCTTCTCTCAATGGATAACATGGTAAAATCTGAAAAATAAATATATAAAGATAATAGAAATAGATTGATAACAAAGTACATGATTTATTTACATGCATGAATATTACCAGTATGTAAATACATGTATCCTAAATCCCTTGGTTTCATTTTGAATTTTGAAAATTATAAAATATACAACGACACACATGTACATGATCTCAAAATACTATATATATATATATATATATATATATATATATATATATATATATATATATATATATATATATATATATATATATATATATATATATATATACGAGTAATTTGTACGACTTTTTAATTCTAGTAAAATAGATGGTGTTAATCTTTGATTTAAAAAAACAATTTAAACAAGATGTGTTTGTGAAACACTATGCCCCCGTATGGCAGCTTATGTCGAAGGTTAAAGTTTCTCAAATGCAAGTCAAAATCCAGGCCAAAAAATAAAAAAATGTTTATACCCAAAGAAAGATCTTGTCTCGAGGAAAACACCTGTGGAATTTGAAAGACCTAGATACAACTGTTCAAAAGTTATGGTGAAGGTTAAAGTTTTTTAATAAAAGTCAAACGTCAAGGTCAAGGTCAAAATGGTTGGTATCCAAAGGAAGATCTCGTCACAAGGATTACATATGTGAAATATGAAAGCCCTTGCACCAACCATTCAAAAGTTATGGCCAAGGTTAAAGTTTTTCAAAAGTAGGTCAAACTCCTAGGTCAAGGTCAAAAGTTCAAAGTCGTTTGTATTCAAAGGAAGGTCTTGTCACAAAGATTACATATGTGAAGTATGAAAGCCCTAGCTCCAACCATTCAAAAGTTATGGCCAAGGTTAAAGTTTTTCAAAAGTAGGTCAAACTCCTAGGTCAAGGTCAAAAGGGTCAAAGTGGTTGATATCCAGAGGAAGGTCTTGTCACAAGGAATACACATGTGAAGTTTGAAACCCTAAGCACCAACTGTTCAAAAGTTATGGCCAAGGTTAAAGTTTTTCAAAAGTAGGTCAAAGTCCAAGGTCAAGGTCAAAAGGTCAAAGTGGTTGGTATCCAAAAGAAGGCCTTGTCACAAAGAATACACATGTGAAGTTTGAAACCCCAAGCTCCAACTGTTCAGAAGTTATGGCCAAGGTTAAAGTCTCATAAAATTTTGCAAAAGTGGGTCAAACTCCAAGGTCAAGGTCAAAAGGTCAAATATGATGGTACCCAAAGAAAGGTCTTGTCACAAGGAATACACATGTGAAATATGAAAGTCATAGCTCCAACCAATCAAAAGTTATGGGCAAGGTTAAAGTTGACAACAGACAGACAGACAAACAGACAAACAAACAGACAAACAGACAGACAGGACAAAAACAATATACCCCCGGGATCTTTCGATCCGGGGGCATAAAAATAGCATTCTAGAAAAAAAAAATAGCAATCATAAAATGTTTTGATGAAAGGTTCAATATTTTAAGATACCCTGCTTATCAAAATTTATAAATGTTAAACCTGTCAATGGTTAGAATGTTTGCGAATTGAAATGAGAATATTACGACAAGTAGCAACTAAATACTTATCAAGTACACATGATAAACTCAGGCCCACCTGAATGATTCAACGATTAAAAAAAAACAAAACTTTTAAAACCTTTTCATCAAAAACTTACTTAAAAGAAAACACATATATGTTGTGTGATCAACATACAAGTAAGACTTGTTACATGTATTACATGTCTCATATGAAAGGGTTATTTAAAAACTGTTTATAGCTGAAAATATACGATAAAATGACCACCCACAGCATGCAACTCAAGAAGCAACATCTATGCAAGTTTGATAAATGTAGAATTAATATATAAACACATATAGTCATTAAATTGGCCTATTAAAAACTTATATGTACATGTAATCATTATTCTATAATCTCAAGCAGGCCATGACTGACCAATGCAAATCCTTCTTAGTATGTTATTTAGTCAGAAGTTAAGCTTCTCGTGACTGAGCCAGGATGGGCGGATCTAGTGGGGTGGACGTTTAAATCCGAGAGTCGAGCCTAGTCCTACTACAATGTACCCAACAAACACAACAACTGTTTTGAAATACATTTGTGTCCTTCTGAAATAATTTATGTACGAGTTTTACTTTTCTGTTTTAATTTAATATTTAGAAATAATTCACCGTCTAAAGGCTTTCTGAAATTCGATTTTGTAAATACTGCTTTCAATAAAATTATTTCTTAATGCTGTGTTAATATGGTTAGCAATTATAAGTATGGTATACGTTTTTTTTTTTTAAATGCAAATGATGATCATTAATGCTTTTCGACAAGTTTTATTCAGCCCGAGGGAATTAACTGAGAAACGGCATTGACTTTATTGTTGACAATGCACATACACTGCAAAATTAAGGCATGAACTTTTTAATATCGGACAGGAGTTGACGTCCTAGGTCACTTGAACACCTAGATGGGAAATCCTCAAAAATGAGGACGAAAGCTACTCACCGACTGGAAATGAAGGATTCAATATCTTCAAAGATTATTATATAGATTAATTGATACATCGCTAATTTGTGTCCAGTCCTGGGAATTTTAATTTCATACTTTACACCTGAGACTCGTCATTTCAATCGTCAACGAACGAAAGTCGTTATTTGTACTACATGTATTTCTAGAAGGGGGAACCCAACAACTGCTTTTCACGTAACATGGATATGCAGGGATTGCCAACTTTATACAAATTATTTTAATAATTCTTGTCGTATCTGTACAAGTATGTCGGGTTATGTAAATACAGATTCTGCGCCTTTAAATGTGGAAATCGATGGGTAAACATCGGTGTATAAAACGGGGAAAGCTAGGGGAAAGGGGGGGGGCGTGTATCTTCGTACATATACTGTAGCGGCATATTAAACATGAAGCTGCTTTTTAAGGTACAATAGGATTCAAGTCTCCAACGATACATATAAAAAAATGACAAATGAAGACCTATAATTTTTTTTATGATTGACAGAATTTATATACATATACAATATAGTAGTGCAGGTAATTTTTTTTTTTAATACAGTTAAAAATATTGGAATATCATTACAGCTTTGAAACAATCTCTGTGTTGTTAAGTTCTGTTTACAATAGATCAGAATTAGTTTTTTTCTGTGTATGATACGTACCGCACACACTTTACCACCCCTCCCTCCTTATATCCGACTTTCATTTTCTATAAAGCAAAATAAATCTGCCTTACGTATATAGAGTGTTTTTTAAGTTTTATTTTAGACTTAAATACGTTAATCTGGGTTACAATCTTTGAATGTATCTTTTGGAGAAACAATATTGGATTTTTCCGTCTAGAAATAGTAAAAATGACGACTTTCGTTCGTTGACATTGAAATGACGAGTCATTTCTGTATATAAAAAGACACAAGGTTCGCAACTCGCCATCTTGGATTCCAAGATGGAGCTCGAGGAGGGTCGGTTCATACTTAATTTTTATTCAATATGTACACTTTTCCTACAGGTAGCAGATGAGATCTAGCTAGTTAAAAAAGATTTTCACTTTTTCTCTGTTTCCATGGCAATGATGGGCAATTTGAAAATTTTTAAATGTTGACTACACGGCTAGAATTACTGATTATCATTTCTGTAAAGTTTTATGACGATTGCCCTAGGCAAGATTGTCCCTGCCACCTGCGAGAAAATTCACGAACAAGTTTTTGGGAGTACAACAGCAATAGGTCGCCCCGACTACGTTCGGGGTGACATAAATAACTATGGCTTAGTCCACTTGCTGATGTGGCGTTTTTCGTAAACAATCAAGGTATAATAATAAAAAAGATATTTTGATATGAGAGGCATAGATGTAAATACAACTTAAGCTTATATATTACTATAATTCTACCCTTTCAGATGAAATTCTTATGAAAAAATAATAAACCAAGACGCAATCTTTCATTTCTTTACTTTTCTATATCATGTACCAATACTGGATCTATCGATTCTATCCATCTATTTTCATCAACCTTTTTTTTTTTTTACATTCACAACAATCCTAATTTTTCTTTGGGTAAAACCCTATTTCTCTCTCTATGTATTTCCTCTTTTAAGTTATCAAAATATAACAAATTGAAGCAAAAATTAATAAAAATTTTACCTGATTTAGTAAATTGTTAAAAATATCCTTGTAATATCAAACACATGGTATAAAGCGTCCACACTCCATAACTATCCCGTGAACAACGATCTTCTTATCAGTTTAAGCTATACCTGCATTGGGTACGGAAAGGGTTGCTTTATTGACTGGGTGTTAGAAAACAAACACCAGTTTTGTAATAGAGAATGACAAAATTGTTACACATAACCTACATCAGACTACAGAATACATGCAATCCAATCCCCCCCCCCCCTCCCCCACGGTTACTCTTGGAAAGCGTTAAGTCAGGTAGTATATTCATGCATATGTTACATTAAAGTTTTTGACTTCAGAGAATTTAAAAGTACATGTAACTATAAAAATATAGTTATAGTTAATTTTATATTCTCTAAATTCTAAAATTTTAATGTAACATATAAATATTCTTAATGTATTTTCGAGTAGTTGGACATCCAAGATGAACATTCAAACTAGAGCTTGTCCATTTTTGAGTAAATATTGCCATGCAGCACACGTTTGTGTCCAACTAGACAGGTATCGATGTCTGAACAGATAAGGACTCGGGGGTCACCTGTACGTATACTAGTATATTTGCAATGACTGATAGCGTTTGTACATGGCCGTAGGAATTTTAATTTTGCCGATAGAAAGATTAGTATAGAAACTATAGATACTATATGCTTGTGCCCCGTCAATAAAAACGTCTGATGACCTTTTTTTTTTGCTCGTGATGAAATTTTTGGTAGTTCATAGTGCCCCCTCAACTGAAAATGTATGGCTGTGCCCCCCCCCCCAACTGAAATTGCTTCCTACGGGCCTGTTGTAACAGCTAATAATTCGGCATAGTTGTTTGTGTTAGCACCTAAAAAATCTAAATTTCTAAAATGATTAAGAGTTTTAGAATTTTAATATTTCAAGTCAAAATTCCAAGTTTTAAATTATGTACATTTTAAAACTCAAACTTTCAAATTTCTTAACACGTTTTAGAGTGTTAAAATTTTATCCTGAAATATTTGAAATATATAAACAGATTTGATATTTTAGACTTTTTGATATTATAGTCTATGAATTGAGTAGATCAATTACGTTACCAATCTACATGTAAATTTCGATTCCAATTTTCGTTTTTTGATATAAACTAAATTTCAATTTTTAAAACGTTTATTTTTAGAAATTTACAATTTTGATTTAAACACTTAAATTTTGATTAATCAAGAAACTATATTACATTTTGAGTTTTAAGAATTTAACTTCAAAATTGAATAATTAAATAAATAATAAATAAAATATCAAATTTCCAAATACCCGATTTTCTTTTTGAAAAATTGTCGGCATCAATTCAAAGTTCTAAACTTTCAAAAGCCTCTTATATTAATATGAAGACCAAAATCAGAATCAGGTATATCTGTAATACAGCAATCGGAATTTCTAAAATTTCTAAAGACATCTAAATGCCATTATTCAGACATTCTACAGTGTATATGTAGTTAAGTAAGATTGCCTTGTAGGATGTATAGAGAATATTTCCTGGACACTTTTCTTTTGATTCATCAAAATAAAGGTAAGACTGGGGGGGGGGGGGAGGAGGCTGAAGCACTGGAGATACGGCTACTAGCAGTTTCAGATTGTAACTTAATTTCACTATAAAGTAAAGGCAACTGACGCAAGTAAGTCAAAGCCAGTTGGGTGGGGCTACTGATGCAAGTGTACCAAAGCGAGTGGGGCAACTGACACAAATAAGTCAAAGCCAGTGGGGTAATATCAGATACATGTACATGTAAGTCAAAGTCACTGGGGCAACCGATAAATTTTTTTAAAAAGTCAAATCGAGTGGGGTAAAGTGGGGTAACTGATGCACGCTAATCAAAGCAAGTGGGACAGATGAGGAAAGTAAGTCATAAAGCTAGTGGGTCAACTGACACAAATAAGTTAAAGTCAATGGATAAACTAATGCAGTCAAAGCTAGCAGGATAACTGATACATGTTAGTCAAAGCCAGCGGGGTAAATGATGCAAGTAAATCAAAGCATTGGGGCTCTCTGCTGGAAGTTTCAATAGTTTTGTTTTCTATGTACTAGAAGACTTCTTTTACAGTATCTAATGTGCATCAAGGAATGGAGACTGACCCTGAAAATCAAAGCTCGTATGAAATCGTTACTCGTGTCTGGCTCTAACTGGTGCGTCAAGTACACTTTGCAGTGCTTCACATGATATTTCCTTTTTTGATGATTGGTTTTATCGGATTTTTCATCTGTGGTTTTTGCATTACTGAGATGACATAACATAAGGTGACTTTTAAGAAAACTATGCTGACAGTTCTATGTAATGTATCTGTAATTTACGTAAGCCCAGAAGTCTCATTCAAACGAAGGAAGGCACATTCGACATTCGAAATCCGAGATTTGAAATTCGAATTTACTAACCAAACAGAAGGACCACTTAAGATTCGATTAGTTTTGATAATATAGAAATTGTATATATATTTTAATTATCAAATCATTTGATTAAATAATAATACAAGAAAAAATTATAAGTATCAATACGAAATAAAAGTGAATGCTGTAGTTTAGCATGTTTAGTTGAACAATACTAGTATGCTTAAAGGGACATAGACACAGATTTGAAATTAATATTTTTTCAAATTTTCTGTATAATTTCATGTATATGTTGCTATAGCATTTCACATGGAAATGTAATAAAAAAGACTTATTTTATCTGGAAATTATTGAAACTAGAAATTCGGGACGCGTTTGATTGATACATCCTTTCACTTTCACAAAGTTAACTTTATCCTTAATGCTTAAGAAAAGTAGAAATTTTGTTGTGTACCAATGAAAAAAATTAAAGATATAATCCAGAAAAATCAGAGTAGAAATGTGTGTAAGCAAAACCAACTCACCAGTATTGTCAGTCCGTGCTCAGTGATGTGTGCAGAGTTTAACAAAATGAACATACCCAGTGAAACGTAGACATTAACAATAACAGAGCTCAGTGCCCTGTTTACAAAACAGTTTACGTCCCACCGGGTTTTGTTACAAGGTATTTTTCATAGTTGGGCTTATATACTTTCTGCTTATAAATGGAGGTTAAAATGAGGAAAAAGATCATCTTATCTGTTATTGAAAATGTTGCAAAACATATCGCAATACAGTTGAAAATATCTCAGTATATCGCAATACGAAATTCCTTGCCGATTCCTAGTCCTACAATTAATTTTAAGTGACTAAAATATTATAGAATGATAGTAACATGATTACGAAGTGGGTAGTGTTTGTGATAAGGATTATAAAGTGGTCAGTGACCAAATATGTGAAGCCAAGAGATATCCTCTGAAGTACGTGTGGCTGAATTATACATGCTTTATAAAGAAAAACAATTCTCTTTGTTTAAAGGCCGAGGTTTTCGACCAGTCGGTTTTCCTCAGGTAAGTTTGGTGTGGGGTGGAGCTTAATCGAAGCGGGTGAGAAGCCCCGAGGGAACGACGCTGGCTTGTGTATACCTACCTTTATACACAGGATGTTACCTGAATGTATTACCTGTATACGTTTTCCTACGACATAGAAAAACGAAGTCATTGTTTTTCTTGTGTAGGTCAATTGAAATGTTGACCGTAAAATTATGAAATAAAGCATGCGAAATGTTTTTGTTGCGGACAGAATCCTACTCAAATTCTTTCTTTTAAAATTAATCTTTTTTAACAATTTGACAATTTCAAGTATACTGTGTGTTTGTATTAATTTCATATGTTATAACGAATATTATAGGACCAAAATTTGTCGTTTTAAGCTGGCGACACAAAGGGAAGTAATTCAAATTGCACGTTTTGTACGCAATGCGAAAGAAGAAAGTGGGTCATAAATAAGTCTCTCACTAATATTAAAACTCAGAAACGCTATTTGGAGGCTAAATTATGTAGAAATATAATAGAATGAATAAATATTTTTAGAAGATAATTCCTACGTGATTTTTCCATGACGCATTGTCTGTAAAATTGGCCAGGGCTTTGGACCGGGAGTGATTCCCCCGACAGCTATGTGAAACGGGAATTGAATCACCTGCGTTGTACTTTTTTCCTTCGGGATTCATAATTTCGAATATTATATGCAAAGCAAGATGTTATAGTTTCTCTTCTAAAACTGGTTATTATACTGTAACTTCGTCACCATGTCTTGAAGAAAAGCGACACGTATTTGTCTTATAAAGTTTCACTTGAGCAATATTACAATTTTGTCATACTTGTTTTAAAAAAAATAATTTTATTGAATTCCATAATATTTCAAACGTGGGTCGGTATATTTTGTTAAGGTAGAATAAATGAACGTCAGTTAAGTTATGTTTTGACAAATTATAATTATCGATTGTAATCGTGAAATGAAATCCCCCCTTTTTAAATTACAATTTTAATATGTAAGCATGATTTTTCTTACCAATTATTTAATTATTTGACAAAATGATTATATTTATGGCATATTCTTATGCATTAAAAAAATGCCTAGATTGCTTCTTTATCACGCTAGCATTTGCGGTTGGCATCAAAGGCCTGAATGTAAATTCGATGGTCGGTGTATTATAATAATGTTTCCCTTGAATATCATCTTTAAAAAAAACAAATTACATTTTTTGATAAATATATGGTCGGTACAAGCTCAGAAAAGGTACACAAGATATACACAACGGCAGAAAACTAAATGTCAATCAAATCCAAGTATCCAATCCCAGGCTTAATTTCAGATGATTGACAGGGGTTCTAAGACCAGGTAAATTTGAAGGAGGTGCTTATTTCCTCCCCCTTTAATTATTAAAACTATAGGCAAGTGTTCATATATATTTTGCATTCCTTGTCAAATCTTAACAAGAGGGAGTAATCAAATCTTGAATGCGCTTTCTGATTGGTAAAATTTGATAATAAATCTCGAAATTCGAATGTACGAAAGTCCAGAAGGCTCATTAGAGTGAGCCTTCTGGGGTTTCATAGTAAATGGAAAGAATAAAGAAGATATTGGTACGAAATAATGGTCTGTAGAATTGAATGGAATTCAACTTCTATTTCAAGTTCTAG